ACATCATGTGGAAGCCGCTAAGATATGCCACTTGAATCTTCTGGAGTGACAGGTCAAGGCACACCTAGCGTGTCTGAGGAACACTGTAATGAAATGGGTAGAGGAGAGGCCTGAGGTGGCTCTGGGCGGCAAACCCATGGAGGGTGCCCAGGGCCCATTGCTCAAAACCATTCTGCCCTCCTACAGCATTGGATCTGTGTTGGGAAGGTTAGCCTGGAAGAACTCTGAAATGCTTTCAGGATCTTTTCCCATTATCTTGATGAGTAGCACCTGGCTCTCTTTATTCATATTAACCTCTTTAACAAATGGTCACTGGCCACACCCTTAGTATTCTCTCCTGAGCAGGCTTTTTCAGTCTTTATCTGGCCAAGATGCAAATTTTCCAAATCTTTTCACCCTTTTTCCCTTTTAATTAGTTAAAACCTTTGCTCTCATATCTCACTGTATGTAGTTAAAAGTAGCCACACAGAAGTCTGATTGGGTCACTGCTTCGATATTTCTTCCACCATATATCCTAGTTCATCACTTTTGCATTCCATAAAGTCTTAGTATATGGGCATAATTCAGCCAAGGTCTTCGCTATCTTATAACAAGAATGGTCTTTATTCCAGTTTCCAATACCTTGTTCCCCATTTTTTTCTGGAACTTGTCAGAATGGCTGTTACTGTCCATATTTTTCTCAACATTCTGGTGATAATCCCTAATTAATTTTTAGGAAGATTTAGACTTTCCCTAATTCTGGGATCTTTTCCCCTTCATCAGAATTGTCCTTCATGCTTTGTTCATGGCAGTATGTACCTTTTCTTGTTTGCTACTCCAAATTCTTGCAGCCTCTACTCATTACCCAATTCCAAAGCTGCTTGCACAATTTCAAGTATTTGTAACAGCAATAACTCCAATTCTTGGTACCAATTTTCTGTCTTAGTCTGTTCTCTTCTCCTATAACAGAATACTACATATTGGTTAAATTATACAGAAAAGAAATTTGAGGCCAGGCATGGTGATACATGCTTATAATCCCAGAACTTTGGAAGGCTGAGACTGGAGGATCACTCTAAGCCAGGGGTTTGAGACCAGCCTGGGAAACAAAGAGACTCCATCTATACCAATAAAATAAAATAAAATAAAATAAAATAAAATAAAATAAAATAAAATAATAATTACTGAAAGCTGGTGATAGCCACCTACAGTTAAACTAGCAGGGCCAGGCTGGAGGGCTGACCAGGAGTTGGAGGCAGAGCTGATTATCTGCTGCACTTTCAAAAAATAAAATAAAATAAAATAAAATAAAATAAAATAAAATAAAATAATTAGCTGAGCACAGTGATATGCACCTATAGTCCCAGCTACTTGGGAGACTGAAGCTGGAAGACTGGAAAGCCAGGAGTTGGAGGCTGCAGAGAGCTATGATTATACCACTGCACTCCAGCCTGGAGACCCAGCAAGATCTAGTTTCTAGTCTTGAAAAAAAGAAAAAAAGTATTTGGCTCACGGTTCTGGTGTCTGGGAAGTTCAAGAGCCTACCACTGGCATCTGACAAGGGTTATTTCTTGACAGAAGGACATAAGACAGAAGCAAGCTCTAGAGACACAGAGAGGAAATGGGGTTGAGCTTGCTTTTATAACAACCCACTTTCTAGAGAACTAACCCTCTCCTGTGATAATGACATTAATTCATTCATGATGGCTCTGCCTTCATGACCAATCACCTCTTGTTAGGCCTTGCCTCCCAACACTGCTTCTTTGGGAATTAAATTTCCTACACGTTAACTTTTGAGGGACGCATCCAAACTGTAGCATAATGTTACTCAATTTAGTCACAATAATCTTCAGTTTTCTTCTAGTTAAAAAATGTTATGTTTTTTTTGGTACTACATACAAGCGTATGGTACCTTTCTAAAAATCAAGACATTAAGAAGAATTTAATGTTCACACTTTTTCAGGTTTCGGGGACATCTTTTCACGGTGCCGTTGCTATTGTAGAATCAATGCTGAGGATAGCTGTTTTAAGAGCAAGAATCTGACACCCTTACTCTGCATTTTATTTTAACAAACTTATTTTTAATCACACCAACTAAATCTTTATTCTTTTCTGCTCTGGAAACTCGGTTTTATATTCAATTATTACAAAAGCCCTCCGGTTCTCTGGTAACTGATGACAAATATGTTTCAGGTTATTATTATTATTATTTCTATCAATCAGGCTTTTAGTCTACCATGGTGCTTGGAATCAGTCATCAATAACTAAGACACAATTAAAAGAGTTTGACAGTATGTGTAAATACTGACAGTATAGTAAAATAATTAATTAATATACAGTCATAATTCAAGCCTTCCCTAAAAACAAGGCCCACTCAAGTACAGACGTTTAAATGCAATAACGAGAGCTTGCTTTATCAATGAAGAAAATTCCCCCAAAAGCAAATTTGAAAGTAAGGAACAATGTATTTTGAATAATTTCTTGTGTGTCAAGACAGTGCAATATTTTCTAGAATAAGTAAATCAGGTGCATGGTAGTACTTTAATACCAATTTTTTGATTTTCTTATTTTTTTTTTAAAGACTGGATTTAAACTCTTGATATAAAGCAGACTTTTAATTTCCCGTTTTTCAAAGATAATATTGAAAGGTCACTTATTGGCTTTTAAAGTTTTGAGAAATGACTCATTGTACTACCACTGTCTTATAGGCTTCAAAATCTAATATCCGGTCAATATTGTGCATTTTGATTTGGCAAACAGGTATCCTTTTTATGTGCTGTAATGGAACTTATTATTTTAAGAACTTTTTATTGCTAGTTTCCATGTTTTAGTTAGTAGATCTTCAGAACACTCCATTAAATAAATAAAAAAGAACATTGCATGCTTTAATGAAATATACTGAGTGTGTCAATTGTAACAAAAATATCTGATCAAGCTTCATAAAATATCTGGAAAGTTTCTCATCTTATTGATTTCAGGTTTATCTTTAAAATTTTATTTATATACTTTTACCATTTTCTAATTAGTAAAGATGCCTACATTCAGAGAGGGGCATTCTCAAGGCTGCAGCCTTGCTCCCCAGAAAGACAGCATGCATACCAATATTTGAGACATATGACTAAATAAGGATCCCTAAATAAGGATTGATTCAGACTAAAACCAAAAAACACACTTTCCTCTCCAAGTGATCAAAAGCTGTGGAAATTCTCACGCCCAAAGAGACAGTGGCATAGCATTTGACTGAGAGCCCTGTATGGCTTGAGGGTGGCTGGAAGCCTGTGTTTGACAAAGAGCTGGATGCTCCAGGAAAATGCCAGGGCCACCTTCTGGACTGTGGTCTGGTTCCAGCTGGGCTCAGTGGATCTGGTCTGGCTTGGTTTCAGCCCTGGTTCAAACGACCCCAGGCAAACCTACTTAGTCCAGTTCCTTGAGGCACAACAAAAAGCCAAGTAAATTCTAGGCTCACCATATAATTTTTGAACATCTCAGGTCACCCTCAGAAGTGACTTTCATTCAAGACATATTTACTGAACACCTACTACGTTTCAAGGCCATGGAACTCCAAATTCCCCCAAAAGAGAGTTTTTGTTTTTATTGATTTATTTTCCCCTAGAGAAGTTAGAGATCTTCTATGGCAAGTCAAAGGTATAAAAACTCACAGAGTGGCTAAGTGTTCCTCTCCCTACCGTGAAAGCTAAACTTGTATTTCTTAGAAAGAGGATCATGTAATCATTTACTATGTTCCTTAAAGTCTCCGAATATTGACATTACATGATTTTTTTTTTTCCATAATGCCTTTTGTTCTTGCTTTTTAAATCTTTTTCCAAACTTGAATCAAAATCTACATAGGGGCTGGGTTTGGTAGCTCAAGTGTGTAATCCCAGCACTTCAGGAGGCCAACGCTGGAGGATCCCTTGAGCCCAGGAGTTCAAGATCAAGATCAGCCTGGGAGACATAACTAGGCCCTGTCTATTAAAAAAAAAAAAAAAAAAAAAAAAATCTACTTGGGAACTGTCTTATGTTCCAAGGGTTTCTTGCAGGAACAGGAATCGTTTCCGCGGTGTGCCGTGTAGTCTATAATTTTGTCAGACTTTTGTGTGTGCTTTTAATGGTTTATGAGAACTTCAATTAACAACATTAAATGGTTTCCAAGACAAGACCCTAGAGTAGATAATTACCATATCAAGAGAAATGAGTAGATGACCCCAGGCTCACCTTGAAGGATGAAACAGGCTTTTAAAGGTCCTGGGCATACTGCACAGCCTAACAGCTTATTAAAAACACTAGAACAACACTTGTGACTTTATTTCATTGTTGTGGCACCAGATTCTATTGTTTGGGTGTCCCCTCCTGTCTCCCACAAATCCACTTCCATATGTCTGAAAATCCGTAATAGGTCTAATGATTATCAAGCAAGGGAAGTCTCAGGAATACTGTACCTTGAGAAGTATAAGAACTTCCCAGAGGTTATGTTACCATAACATATCTAGTTTCTAGCGCTTTAAACATTAAATTGTTTGCAACATATTTCTCCGTACGTTAATCAACATACTTTGCGATCCCTTATTAAGTTCTAGCTTCTGCAACAAACGTGAAAAACAGCAAAGATGCATAACTCAAATGTGAGAAGCACGGAAATTTCCTAGACCGCAGGGTTTGTTCTCAGTAGTCGGCAATAAGCTGGTTTTCAGAGTCAGGAACTTAATAAAGTTGTTCTGGAGGATGCCCCAGCTGTGCGAAGGTCCATTTCGTTTTGCATCTGAAGAGAAGCAAGCGAGACTTCCCTACCGGGAGTAAAGGTTCAGCGGGGCAAGGTTCGAACACCCAGAGCTGGGCAAAGGCGGGAACGCACGCCGCCGCGCCTGGGCTAGGGGTGCTGACGGCCCGCGTAGCTCGTGGGCCTCCGGGTTTGAGGCCACGGGGTCAGCCCTGCTACCGGCTTCGCGCCCGGGCGCGGGTCCGAGCAGCCAACTTCGGGCCAATCAGCGAGCGGCGTCCCGGCGCCCGCACTGCCCAGGCCCGCGCCCCCAGCGCCCCCGCAGCAGGAATGGCAGCAACGGATCCGGGCCGAGCCCGACCCGGGACGAGGAGGGGCTGAGCCGCGGGGGATCCTGGAATCGGCTGGGAGGTGGGGATTCTGGGAGGAAAACTCCATTTCCTCCTTCCCTGCCGGCTTCTCCCCTCTACCCTGGCACCCCAAATTTCGATGTGTCGCCTGCCGGGCGCTGAGCGCCGGTGTTGAGAGAGGCGGTGGCCGCCGCGGCCGGGAAAATGCTGGGCATGTACGTGCCGGACAGGTTCTCCCTGAAGTCCTCCCGGGTTCAGGACGGGATGGGGCTCTACACGGCCCGCAGAGTGCGAAAGGTGGGTGACCCGGCGGCGGCCTGCGCGCCCCTGCACCTCGCGCGCCCTGCGCCTCCCGGAGTCGCCCTGCCGCAGGGCCCGGGGCGCGGCGGGCTTCACCCCGGTCGCCCCTCGCCCGGGCCGGGCCAGGCGTTCCGCTGGACGGCCGGGGACCGCGGGGCGCGGCGGGGGTGGCCTTTACTCGCTGCGCCACCCGAGCAGGCAGCGCCACGTAGGTGGCGGCGGGGCGCGCTCCGCTGCCGGCCGGTCCAGGGGCGGAACTGCCACTGGCCTCCCTGCTGCAAGATGTCTTTCCTCTCTCCCGCAGGAAGTGAGCGCGGCGGGAGCCTCCCTCTTCCTCGGTTACGGGAGTGAGCTGCGTCTTTGCGTTGGCAAAGGCACGCGTGGGCGGGAGTCTTCCCCCGCGCGCACGGTGCTCCGCCGCCGCCGCCTCTTTTCCTTTAGGATGAATTAATGTGGCTAGAAACTCCTAACTTTCCATGCGGGGATGGGAAGAACAGCCCAGAGCGCCGCTCCACACAGGCCGTAGAATCTCATTCATACACCCAGCATTTCCTTCCCTCCTGGAATGTGTTATATGTGCCTTCAGGGAGGTGCCAACCAGATAATCTTTGAATGTCTGTACCTTTTTTCTCTGATTTTTTTTTGGATTTGTGTCCAACATCGGTTCGATCTCTCCAGCCAGAAAGTTACAGGCATGTGGTGAGAGGAAGCACATTGCTCCGTTCCTACAGGAAGGGCCTGGAAGTGTTGGATGTTGAAAGCAAAGGCCTAGGAAGAGAGGCCACAGGAACAGTCCAGCTCTTTGGATTTAATCTTATAATATTATAACTTGTTAGAGTCGTCCTGGCCTCCCTCGTCCCCTTTTCTTAGTAGATATTTTGTAAGAGGGAGGTTTGGGCAACAACAGGCTTGTTCAGGTAAGGTATGTTCACAAGAGGTTCAGAGGATGCAGTCAGAGACACTAGGGTGTCTTTCAACTGCATTTAACCCGCTCCCCTTAGCCTCTGACCTAAAGACCTGGTGAAGAGTAGTAGAAAGTGCTACTAATCTCCAAAAAAGGGCTCCATTGACAACGTGATCTCCAGTCATCCTTCAGGGCAAAATTGGAAAAAATAAACCACTCATTTATTTTTTCAAATGGGAGTTGGGGAGAATGTTCAAATGTTAAAAACAGGAATAAATACTTTATCTGAATTAGAGATGTATTGAATAGTTGCCAAATGGCCAAATGTTAAAATCAACATTTTTTGAAGGCCAAATACAACCATCACCAAATGACTTCTGTACAGAGTTCAAATTCTGCTTTTAATTCATTCTTAAAAGATGTGAAAAATTCTCAGACCTTCCTTAAAGGTTTCTGGCTTAAATGTAATTACTTTAAAAATTAAACACAGTTCTTAAAAATCATTTTATTTAATGTTATGAATAGTACTATACCAAACAACTCTACAAAGATTAGAATTGTTACATAATCCTTGTTGTTTCCTTATATTACCATATAGGTTTTTAGAAACAGCTGGCCAACCTCCTATCTTTTGAGATTTGTATTAATTTCAGCTTATTTTTTCATATATTTGATTCTTTGTAAGTATTTTGTTTTTGGGCATGCAATGAAATGAACAGCTTCCAAAATCATCATATATTATTGCATCACTTTACTATTGCAATGATACTTATCTTTTCTTGGCCAGTTTAACTTTAATATATAAAACACATAGAGGTTTTCATCCAGATCACATTTAGAATACTTCTCTATATTTCAAAGTGAATATGCAGATGTTTGCTATGAATCCAAACTATTATTGACATTTAGTTATGATCTCAAAATATTCAGTCACAAGGTCATGGACAGGTCTGTTGATCTCAGAACTGACCCTAAAGCAAGCTTCAGTTCCTTTTCCTTCTAAAATCTGAGGACAAAGACAAGGCTAAAGCCAAATAGCAGACTTTAGCTGAATTGTAAGGCCGCAGCTGAGTATCAATGCATCCCTTACATGCTTGTGGAAGGCAAATGGTCCCTCAATTCTTAGGTATTTTCCAAGTTACCTTGTACTAGACCTAATTCTGGCCATAAATCAATGGACCTGAGAAGAGAGATTTATCAGCAGCTACATTAAGGACCTTACTTAAAAGTTTTCATGCTCTCTATTCTAAACAAACTTTAGAAGATACCACTTTTAATACATGTGTTGGAAATTACAGATGTTTTGCCACACTTTTATAACACATCTGCTTGTATAACACTGTTTTAGAAAGTGATTGCAATTCAAGCCATCTGTTGATTTCAAATTCAAAGAATCTAATCCAGACTGAGGTTGGGAAATCTTACTAGAAACCCCACCCACATTACATTCACCAGGTTGAGATGGGATTTTCTTGCTGGTGGGACCCCTTAATCCTTCTCTAGTCCTACCCCTTTTTGTGCAGTGCTTCCTAGAGTGGTGGTGTCTTTGCAGCAGAATCACCTAATTCCCTGGCTTTACCTTAGTCCTACTAGATTTTTCCTTGGCAATTATCCTTTTTTGCTGGTCTGTTGCCTCTAATTTTCTTTTCCCAGTATAAAAATCTGTATAGTGACAATTCAAGAAATGGAAAAGAGTCAGTTAGAAAGCTTTTGAGAAGAAAAAGGAGACCTGAGTTCATTCACACTTTTACACATTGTGATTTGCTAATAATCAGAATAAGGAAAAATAATAAAATTGAAACTTTTTGCATGCTGTGTGCCAGACCCTGTCTAATGCTTGCTGTGTTTTCTCAGGAGCACAGTTGAATGCTTCAGTGAAAATGTGGCATTTTAGGTTGCAAAGTATTATGCAGATTAAAATTAATATTAGTTACTCAAAACTCATAAATTAAGTATACATCCAATAAAAATTTAAAGTTAAGCAAACACCTTACTACATTACATTTTTTGTTTCACGACCATTTTTTTTCTAGCTTGCTTATATGATTGGCCACCAGTGGGTGGTCTTTTTGACATTGTGCCTGAAACTGCGAAGTGGAAAGGTTATTTCAAGCTCTCAGATTATGTGATTTTAAGGGAAAGATTAAGGTGGAAATATACTACTTGCAGCTTTCTTTCTCTTTAGATATTTTAGGATGTAGGTTTTTCTTCTCTGACTTTCCGTCATTTAATCATTCATATGTGGCAGGTACTGTACAAGGCCATGGGGATACACAGGTGAGCAAGACAGACAAGATCTTTTTTGTCAAGGAGCTTGCTTTCTTGTGTGGGGAGATAGGCAGTAAACAAGTAGAAAATGGAAAATTACCAAAATGATTGAGGCATGTGTTAAATTAATTGCAGGAAATAAACAGGATGAGGCATTAAAGAGTAAATGAGGGGTGGGTCTACTTTAGGAGGGCCAGCAGGGAAGGCTTCTCAGAGGAAATGACATCTGAGCAGAGAGCTGAAGTCGCTGAGCCAGCCAGGAGATTCTCTGGGAAGACAAGTGCAGAGAGCCAACCTGTTCAGTGTAAAGCTCTTCCTCCTTCAAAGTGCCTGTCTCTGGACTTTGGCCAGAGGCATGCTTCCCAGCCTGTGGGATGGCCACTTGGCAGGCTGTAACCTTTTAGGAGAAATAAAGTATTGTCTCCACCTCTCCTTTTCTAAAATTATATCTTGTAATTTTTTGCTAAGTTAACAGACGTCATCTAATTGGCACATCCTCCTTTTACAGGTGAGAACACTGAAGCCCAGAGAGTTGTAGGGAGTCTTAGAGCTCACAGTTACCTCTCAGATTCCTATGCCTCCCACAGTTCCAACTCCCTCCTTTCCAAACAAAGACACACACCTTGATTCTCACTGAGGCATTTATACTAAGATCATTTGGTGAGGTAAAATCCTAAGTAAAAATCAATCAATCAATCAATCAATCAATCAATATCTGAAGTAAAGGCTTAAAGGTGAGTTTGTAAAAATACAGTAAGATTTTAAAACAAAAGTCAAATTTTACAAAGTTTAAAAAAATATCAAAGAGAGAAAAAAGCTGAAACAGATAAGTAAATAAAAGCCTGTAGAGGAAAAATCACCATGCATAAATGTTAATACAGGAAGACCAGACTTTGTGGGATGAGGTGTTGTGTTGATCAGCATAGAAGGTGACTTGTCTGAAGAAACATAGATTTGTAGCCTAGGGCTAAAAATCTGCCAGCCAATGTTTGCTTACGTTTCCTGGTGGCTGATGATAACTTATCTGGAAACATTATTGAAGAAATGTAATCATGAAGCCTGCCATATATGCTGTCTCTTCCCTGTTTTCACACATTCACACTTCTCCATAGTGACTCAAGGCAGCTTTGTATTTCCTGGTGTTGTTAAACATTTTTTTAAATTATGTAACTACTCTAACATTTTCTCCAAAACTATATATATGTGTGTGTGTGTATATATATAGTGTGTGTGATAATGGCAGCTACAATTAATTCAACAAATATTTATTGAACTATGGCAGTTTTTAGGCACTGTTTTAGTTACTAGTGGCAGAAGAGTGAGTGACAGAGACAACGGTCACTAGATGCTTTACACAGTTTTTAGTGAAGTCCTGCAGTAAGCCTGCAAAGGGGCTGTTAGTATCCCTGTTTTATAGATGAGAGAGCTGATGTTGAGGAAGGTTATATCAGTCATAAGTGGATTAATGAAAATTTGAACTCAGGTCATTCCATATACCCTTTTCCTTAAAAATGTTTTTTTCTCTATTGTGATGAAATGCTATATTCACAAATATACAAACACATGCACACTTTTAAAAAAACATGAGTTTACAAAAATAAGAAAAGAATAAACTCACTTCATCATCTCACATTTTTCATTCTATGGTATCTTGTGGAAATTCCTTTAAGTTACCTACCTTGGCTCTGTTTTTTTAAATGTCTGAATATAGTCTATGCTGTGGATATGCTGTAATTTGTATTTATTTAGGTCTTGTTTTACACATTCATTTAACAAATCTTTATCACTGTATATGCCAAGACCTATACTATTCACTTTGGGGTAC